ATCTATTTAAACCTGAAACTGAATGATGTTTCCAGAGAGCGGTAATTCCATCTCTCTCTCCGCGCTCGGCATATTTGACTCGGCATCAATAATTCATGTAATCTATATACATAAACAGACAAACAAGTTTTCAAATAAAAGGCCAACAAATAGAGCTGCAGAGAGTGTGCCAGAGAGATGGTGATGTATAATGGTTTCTATTACAGGCACATTTAAACACTGAAAGGGCCTTTCTTATGATGCCAACAGGTGAGAGGAGAGAGCAGGCCTCTGTCTCTTTGATTAACATTTAGACAGCTTTTACTACAGTACACAAATACAACACTCAAATCAAACAGGAGAGAAAGAGAGAGAGAGAAATACAAAATTAATTGATTGATGGATGGATGGATGGATGGATGGATGGATGGATGGATGGACGGACGGACAAATAGAAGAACAGATAGACGGATGGACGGACGGTTGGATGGAATGATGGATGGATGGAATGATGGATGGAATGATAGATGGATAAAATGATGGATGGAATGATGGATGGATGAATGAGCAGATAAATAGATAAACTGATGTAATGAAGATTGGGATGGATAGATGGATAGATGGATGGATGGATGGATGGATGGATGGACAGATGGCATGACAGAATTATACAACAAAAGGCAGAATGGTAGATAGAACAATAGAATAAATCATACAATAATGAAATGAACAACATAGTGATAAAACAAACTTTAGAATATGGACGGACAGATAGATGGGATGGAGAGATATTTGGGACGGATGAATATATGTAATGAACAAAATTATGTATGGATGGATAAATGAAATGAAAGGTGGATTGATGGACAGACGGACGAATGGATGAACGGATGGATGGACGAAATGATGGGTGGGTGGAATGAATGAATGGATAAATAGAACTATGTTTGGATGAATGGAACTATGTTTGTATGGATGGAACAATGTATGGATGGATAGAATAATTAATGGAGGGATGGATGGGTGGAGGGAGGGAAAGATGATTGGGATGGATAGATGAATGGATGTAATGATGAATGGAATTATGTATGGATGGATAGAATGATAGGTAGATGAAATGATGGATTGATAGATGAATGAAATGATGGATTGATAGATGAATGAAATGATGGATTGATAGATGAATGAAATGATAGACGGATGAAATGAATGATTGATAGATTGATGAAATGATGGATTGGCAGATGGATGGAAAGAGACGGATGGACAGACGGGCAGATAGATAGATAGATAGATAGATAGATAGATAGATAGATAGATAGATAGATAGATAGATAGATAGATAGATGCATGGATAAATGGATAGATAGATGTAATGATACAAGGAATTATGTATGTATGTATGTATGGATGGATGGATGGATGGATGGATGGATGGATGGATGGATGGATGGATGGATGGATGGATGGATGGATGGATGGATGGATGGAAGGAAGGAAGGAAGGAAGGAAGGAAGGAAGGAAAGAAAGAAATTTAGAAAGAAATTTAGAAAGAAAGAAAAAAGAAAGAAAGAAAGAAAGAAAGAAAGAAAGAAAGAAAGAAAGAAATAGATAAAGAGTTTGTGTGTTAGAGCCATTTGTTGTATTCAGCAATGCCATTTTTAACTGGACTCTTTTCCAGAAGGATCTATAGATGGTGACCGGTGCTTCTCATTGATCTGTAAACAGCTCACAAAGATCGAACTTCTTCACACACAGAAACACACACACATTGAAACACACACACCCTTTCAAACAACAAACAGGCAAAAAATCTGCAGAAAATTGATGTGTTGTGAGTTCTCCAGAACGCACATTTTATGAAAACAGAGTTATTGCATCAAACCGCACAATGCTCTTTCTCTTTCACAATGATCTTTCTCTTCCCTTTCACCGTTGCCTTCCGTCTTTCTGACAGCTTGACCTTTTGTGACCTTTACAAAGTTTTTAATTAGGATCGGCGCCTCCTGCTGACATGCACTATGGGCAGTGCGGCTGGAGGGAAGGGCCCATGGCTATGAAATTAAACTGTCAATCAAAAGCAAAAACCGTAGCACCAGCCAATCAGCAGCAAGGATGTACAGTGCTTTCAGACGATGATGTCATAATGCAGAGAGCAGCGAAAGACCTTGAACTCATAAACCCAGATGCACATACATATTTAAAAGTGAGAGTGAATTTAAATAATCAACGAGCAGAATTAATGAGTGTGTGAATAAATAATTTGCTATATCTACACTGTAGATTTATGATATGCTTGTTTGAAAAACGAGCAAAGAAATTACCATGTTTTTCAGATAAGTTACAATGGTAAGGTAGATTAAAAACAAACCACAAAAGAACAGAATAACAAACAAACAAACGACAGGAAAACTGAACAAATAAATGTTATAAAATCAACATGATGGATGGATGGATGGATGGATGGATGGCCAGATAAATGGATAGATAGATAGATAGATAGATAGATAGATAGATAGATAGATAGATAGATAGATAGATAGATAGATAGATAGATAGATAGATAGATAGATAGATAGATAGATAGATAGATAGATAGATAGATAGATAGATAGATAAATAGATAGATAGATCAACAGACAAATGAAAGACAGTGTGAACAAACAAATTAAAAATAGAAGGAACAAACAAACAAAAAACAGAAATAAAAATAAACAAATAAACAGTCCAAGACTAAGACAAACAAAAACAAATCAATAACAGAAGACAGAGCAAACAATAGATCTCAGGGAAGATAGAAAAAAACAAACAATAGAAAGGCAGAACAAACAAATGATAATAATGCAAAAATCAAACAAACAAATGTTAAAAGGGCAGAACAAATACATTTTGGAAATAAATGCAGAAAAAAACGAATTAAATAGAAAATAGAAAAACAAACAATAAAAAGAACAAACAATCAAAAACACAAAAATCAAACAAATGATAAAAGGGCAGCACAATTAAAAATTTTACATATATAGAACAAACAAACAAACAGAAAGAAATAGAAAAAAACTAACAAGAAAGGCAGAACAAACTAACTATAAAAGCGGAAAAAAAGTAAAAGGCGGAACAAAAAATTATTAAACCGATATAGAACAAACAAAGAACAGTGGACAGAACAAGCACATGATAGAAAGGGAGAAGTAAAACAAAACAAAAAATAAAAAAAGATAGTAAAAACAAACAAGATAAGCAGAACAAACAAATGATAATAATGCAAAAATCAAACAAACAAATGATAAAAGGGTAGAACAAATAAATAATTGAACAAATATAGAGCAAACAAACAACAGTAGAACAAACAAATGATAGAAAGAGAGAAATAAAACAAACAAATTAAAGAAGATAGAAAAAAAAACAAGAAAAGCAGAACAAACAAATGATAATAATGCAAAAATCAAACAAACAAATGATTAACGCAAAAATCAAACAAACAAATGATAAATGTGTAGAACAAATCTATAATTGAACAGATATAGAACAAACAAACAAACAAACAACAGAGGACAGAACAAACAAACACTAGAAAGGCAGAACAAACATGATAAAAATGCCAAATTCAAACAAACAAATGATAAAAAAGCAGAACAAATAAATAATTAAACAGATATAGAACAAACAATAGATAAAAAGGCAGAAATAAAACAAACAAATTAAAGAAAATTTAAAAACAAACATTAGAAAGACAGAACAAAAATAATTAAACAAATATAGAACAAAAAAAACAACAACAGAAGATAGAACAAACAAATGATAGAAAGGGAGAAATAAAACAAACAAATTAAAAATAGAAAAAACAAACAAGAAAGGCAGAACAAACAAATGATAAAAATGCAAAAATCAAACAAACAAATGATAAAAGGGTAAAACAAATAAATAATTGAAAAGATATAGAACAAACAAACAAACAGGACAGAACAAAGAAAAAACAATAAACAAACAAATGATAGAAGATAACAACAAACAAATAGAAAACAAACAATAATAAGGCAGAACAAAAATAATTAAACGCATATAGAAATAGAACAAACAAACAACAGAAGATCAAACAAGTGATAGAAAGGCAGAACAAACAAATGAACAATAGAATGAAGAACAAACAAACAAATGAACAATAGAATAAAGAACAAACAAACAAATGAACAATAGAAGGAAGAAGAAACAAAAGACTGAAAGAAAGGACAAATAAACAACTGAACATCGGATATAGAACAAACAACAAAAGAGAGAACAAACAAATATTAGAAAGTGGAATAAAAACAAACAAACAACAGAAATACAACAAACAAGAGACAGAGGATGATAGAAAAGCAGAACAAAAAACAAAGAATAGAAGAAATAACAAACAGATAACAGAAGAAGACAACAAACAAAGAAGACAAAACAAACAATCAAAAATAAACAAAAATCTATAAAAAGCAACATTTATTCAAGCAATAAAAAGAACAACGCATCGATCAAACAAAAACAAGGGAATGATACAACGACATTGCAAACAAACAAATGAAAGAATAAAACAAACAGAACGAACAAAAGAATGACAGATGGATGGACAGATCATATTTTTGGGCACCATCGATATTCAATTCAATTCAATTCAATTTTCCCTAGGCTTAGTCCTTTATTTATCAGGGGTCACCAGAGCAGAATGAACCACAATTTATTCTGGCATATGTTGTCAAATAAATGTCGAAATAAGATGTCGCTGCACATGTATGCAGCGGATGCCCTTTCAGCTGCAACCCAGCACTGACAAAAACCCATACACTCTCCCATTCGCACACACACTCATACACTACGGACAATTTCGTTTATTCAATTCACCTATAGCGCATGTCTTTGAACTGTGGGGGAAATCGGAAAACATGGAGAAAAGCCAACTCGGGGGTGAACGTTGATATCAACTCAACTAAATAAAAGAGACATTAATTTATTCCATCTGTCATGCAAACAGAGAGTGACTGGCGGACACTGACCGGTGCGCGGGTTGATGCTGAAGAAGTTCTGCGGGTTCCCACTGGAGATGCGGAAAGACAGACGGGGCTCTGCAGTCGTAGCGTCAGGGTCCTGCGCCTGGATCTGGATCACCGACTGATCCTTCGGGGAGTTTTCCAGGATTGTGGCGTGATACATCGGTTCAGACGTTAGGGGAGAGTTATCATTCACATCCTCAACCTGTCAAAACACACACAAACAAACAATATAAGTACTTAAAAATAGCTACGGAGCTACACATGCATTATTTTTATTACATATATTATTCATATTTAAATACACAATATGAAACAGGATCAGCATTTGGTATGATACTTATGAGAAAGGCAATTAATTATTAATTACAATGTACACCATGACAAGAGTATTACATTTCTAATTAGTTTGTCTGAAAAGTAGTTACTTGGTGAGCTATTTTATTACTTGGCTAAATACAAAAAATTACTATAAATCTCAATGCATAGAAACAAGCAGCAACATCCTGCTCTCCCGCATAAAGTAATTCAATTTAATTCAATTCACCTTTGTTTATATAGCTCTTTTACAATGTAGATTGTGTCAAAGCAGCTTCACATAAAAGGTCATAGTAAATTAGAACAGTGTAGTTCAGCTTTTAGTGTTTAAGTTCAGTTCAGTTTAGCTCAGTTCAGTGTGGTTGAATAATCAATACTGAGGGTCTAGACACTGGAGAGCAAATCCATCGATGCGCAGCTCTACAGATCCTAAACCATGCAAGCTAGTGGCGAAAGCGGAGAGGGAAAAAAAACTTCACCAACTGGCGAAAGTGAAGGAAAAAACCTTGAGAGAAACCAGACTCGGTTGGGCACGACCATTTTAATTTCTTCGCTGGCCAAACGTCTCGTGCAGAGCTGCAGTCTCAGCAGCGGAGGCTGGAAGCTTTGCCTTAGTGAAGACTCGTAAAGTAATGTAAATACGAAAGTAACTGTAATTGCAATTCATCGAAAGGCCACTAGGGCTGGCTCCAAAACAGAGGTCATTTCTATTGACTCCAATGTTAAAATGCCCATCAGACAAAAAGGTTTTTACAGCCTAGTACAAAAACGATTTTGGTGTATATCGCTAATATTACCCTGCATGATAACTGTGAGGGGATGACATTTCATTTATTGTATCATCATTTACATTAAGCCTCAAAATTTGACATAATTAAGGCCGTGGCTACTTGAGTGACAGCTACGCCTTTGCTACTTGCTGTCACGTTACCTCAGTTTGCAAGTAATTAGCAATTTCCTCATGTAGAAAAGCGTAATAAGAACTCAATGTATTACAGCACAGTGTTTAAAACACCAAACACAGTAAACACTTTATTGATATAGTACACAAACCCAGCACATGTGTTCAGAACACAAACAAATCACATTAAATGAAGTATTAAGTGTTTCTTCCAAAGTAAAACACATCTAAGCAAAATGCAAGCAAATAGAGCCCTACTGAAAAAGCAGCTTAAACCAGCCTAGGCTGGTTGATTGGTTTTAGCTGGTTGTCCAGGCTGGTTTTAGAGGGGTTTTGGCCATTTCCAGGCTGGTTTCCAGCCTTTTCCAGCCTGGTCTTAGATGGTCAGGCTGGGAGATGACCAGCAAAAACCAGCTTGACCAGCCTAGCCAGCCTGGAAGCCCTGCCAAAATCAGCTATGTCCAGCTTAAATCAGGCTGGTCAAGCTGGTTTTAGCTAGATTTAGCTGGTCATTTTTCAGCCTGACCAGCTAAGACCAGGCTGGAAATAGCTGGAAACCAGCTAAAACCAGCCAACCAGCCTAGGCTGGTTTAAGCTGGATTTTTCAGCAGGGAGGTCTGCATTCACGTGGCTGTTTCGCTTGACCCGGCCAGATTTCCAAATAAATCGCGGTAGCGATTGGTAACTCTTGTGTAATTTGAATGGAGTGGCTGTTCTAACAATATAGCACTCTCAAGTCCCGACGTTATTTCAGAATTGCATATCTGGGATTTCCTCATTCTTATTGAGCACCGGTACAGCCAGTGCTCATGACTGTTACACGATGAACGAAAGGACCAGTGCTTTCTACACATGCTTGCTTTTCACACAGTCTGTGCGTGCATCATCTGCATAACAGTCCTCAGAGCGGGTTTACCAACATGGGAGAGCAAAGTGATGATTGGCTGTCTTTCAGCTTGCATTAAAAAAGGTCAGTTTACTGTCAGGAAACCAACATCAGTCAAGTCTGATGTAGAGTATTTCTCATGCGTCATAGATGCAATTGGATAAAAAAAGGCCTTTGCGAGATACGATAATACCTCAAAGTTTTACCCTTTAGCAGTAACAAGACCTCAGGTTTAAAGCGGCACACATGTCTCATCACAAAGGGGCAAGCAAAACTGATATTTAGCCAACAATGCTTGCACATTACACATTTTTTTTGTTATCTCTCTCTATTAGTGGTATCCAATTTAAATGTAAGATTTTGAAAACCAGATCTAAATTTAGCAGGAACGGTCGTGTTGGGTGGAAAATGCATGTCTGGCAGCGGGTGAATATAGGAAGGGAGCTGTCGGTTGTGGAACAAAATCTTGCAGGAGCAGAATTTAAAAAATTGTTCCGCGCAGACCTCTACAAGCAGGCATATTTAGCTCCGCCTATGCCCCGCCTCTTTGCCCATTTTTGGTTACTACGGAGTGATGCATGCCCATGCCCACTTGTAGCTTCATTTGCACTCTTCAGAAATCCATAGGTAACGTCACAGACACTGTGCCCATATTTTTGGTTGATATTTTTAGTCTATAGGAACTTTCAGTTTTGTTTTTAAATAAAATAACGCTTACATTGTAAGCAATATATGTTTCAAAACACAAAAAGCTTCAAATTATTGACAAACTATTTAAAATTATTCTTATTGTTTCCAATACATTGAATTGTGTAAGCATGTGCAAATTTCAGACAAATATCAGACAAAATTCTCTAGTTTCCTATTATGCAAAATATCTGAAAATACATACATACAAATATATATATATATATATATATATATATATATATAACACACAGACACTCCGCATGTCTGAAATTATTTATATAAAGCTGTTTAATTTATGTAGTTTTCAAGATGAGCATATTATAAGTAACTGTAATTAAATTACCTACAGAAATCCCTTACTATAATTTTTCAGTGAACATGCAATTTAATAACAATAACTCATTATTTTGCAAATAATTACACTAACCACTGAATAGGATGCACTGTAATGTACCTGTATATAGACTTGTAGCGCTGCTGACTGTGGAACTACGCCCAGATCAGTGGCGTACACCGTCAGCCAATAGGAGTCCTGTGTTTCCCTGTCCAACAGATCTGTGGTGTAGATCACAC